TGTATATGTTATAACCTTTTTATATCTTATTAATGTTATAACTAAAGTTATAACTCATATAAATGTTTGCACCCTTATACGTGACAATAACCTTGCATTTTTTATTGGTAGTGATCCAATCCTTAATCCGTTCAATCCAGATACTAGTATATAGAAATGTCACGTAATGATTTGTCATATTGTATTACATTAACCTTTTTGCTATAACGATACAAAGTGACAAATCATACATAATGCCGAAATCATCCGCAAATCTTGTGTAACTTACTCGATCAAAAAAAAAAAAATTTTTTTTTTTTTTAAAATTTTTTTTAAATTTTTTTTGTACATTGATTGTTCCAAACCACCTAAATTTAAAATGTCATCACCAAACTTTATCGCTCAAGAACAAGCAGCTTTCGATTATGAAGTGTCTGAAGTTGAGAGGTGGTGGAAAAATGAACGTTTTCGTCTTATAAAACGTCCTTATACCGCTGAACAGATAGTTTCAAAGCGTGGTCTCCTTAAACAGCAATATGCCTCTGATACTCAGGCAAAAAAATTGTGGTCTTTGTTAAAACGCCACCAAAAAAATAAGACTGCCACACATACTTTTGGTGCCTTGGATCCTATCCAAGTAGCTCAAATGGCTAAGTATCTAGAAACCGTATACGTATCCGGTTGGCAATGTTCTTCCACTGCTTCCACCTCAAATGAACCAGGCCCAGATCTTGCCGATTATCCAATGGACACTGTTCCAAATAAAGTTGAACATTTATTTATGGCTCAGCAATTCCATGACAGAAAACAACGTGAGGCAAGGTTTAGTCTTTCCAAAGAACAGAGAGTAAAAACATCCTTTGTTGATTATTTGCGCCCCATTATTGCTGATGCTGATACTGGTCATGGCGGTATCACTGCCGTCTTAAAACTCACAAAAATGTTCGTTGAACGTGGCGCTGCAGGAAGTAGGTTATCATTTCGTTTTGATTTTCCATTTTTATCTTGAAAAGATTGCGAATAACATTAATTTGTTATTTTTAATTTATTAAAATAGTTCACGTTGAAGATCAAGTAAGAGTTCATATTTTTCGTTTCTTCGATACTTTATTTTAAAAATAAGCAAACATTTAATGACAAACATTATTATAAATAGTCCCCATCTAATAAAAAATGTGGCCATATGGGTGGAAAAGTATTAGTGCCAATTTCTGAACACATAAACCGTTTAATTGCTATCCGTGTTCAATTTGATATCATGGGTGTCGAGAATATTATTGTCTCTCGAACTGACTCTGAAGCTGCTACACTTCTCACATCTAATATCGACGCTCGAGATCATGGATTCATTCTTGGTTCAACCAATCCTAACCTTCGTCCTCTTGTAGAAGTCATGCGAGAGGCAGAAGCAAATGGTGTCTCGGGAAGCGAACTTTCTGCGATAGAACAAAAATGGACGAGTGACGCAAAATTAAAACTTTACAATGATGCTGTTGTCGATGCTATTAAGGCATCCAACCTTCCCAATAAAAGTTCTTGCCTTCAAAAATGGTCGTCACAACATCAAGGACTTTCTCACTATGATGCTTCCAAATTAGCGAAGTCGTTGGGTATTGATTTGTTTTGGGATTGGGATGCACCAAGATCACGTGAAGGGTTATACAGATATCAAGGTGGCACCAAATGTGCTATTAATCGTGCTATAGCTTATGCCCCATATTGCGACTTGCTTTGGATGGAGACGGCAAAACCAATCCGTGCTCAAGCTCAAGAGTTCTCTGCAGGTGTTCACAAAGTGCATCCTGAAATGATGTTGGCTTATAATTTAAGTCCTTCATTTAACTGTAAGTAATATGTATTTCATTTAATTCTTAATATGTAAAAATATTTTTAACATTTTTGTTTTCTAGGGGATGCTGCTGGTATGACGGATGAACAAATACGTAATTTCATCTCTGATTTAGGTAAATTGGGCTTCGTATGGCAGTTCAATACGCTTGGTGGATTCCATTCGAATGCCCTTGGTGTGGATACTTTTGCTAAAGATTATAAAGCACGCGGTATGCTTGCGTATGTTGAAGGAATTCAACGAAAAGAACGTGAATTTGGTGTCGAAACCCTTCAACATCAGAACTGGTCCGGTGCTAATTATGTTGATAAGTTAATGTTGACAGTCACAGGTGGTGTCAATGCAACAACTGCCATGGGTCAAGGTGTGACCGAGGATCAATTCAAAAATTAATCAGCATGATTTTGCAAATCTCATTTTAATACACCATGTTGTTTTTTATTCTTTGTATTGTTATATTTTTAAATTAAATTTTGAATGCCAATTTTCTGAAATTTCTTGTTCAGAGACAATCCATCAACTAAAACTCGCGTTATAATACCTGATCATATTCCGGTTGATTTTTTCAATTTATATTTAACTGAGCTTCCAATGCTGTCAAAATCATTTTAAATCTCTTATCCTATTATTGAGAAAAACTATATTTTTCCTAGAGTATGTTTGCCAATGCACAAAACCTTTTGAACACATTATTTTCTGGTTAGCTCGCCGCATTAGCCGAGAAAGGGGAGGGTCAGAAATGATGTTATTCGATTTTTTGAGATTTCTTCCCCTGTATTATATTCATTTTGATTAACCTCTCGCAAATAACGTCAGAGAAAAAATCATTTAACTAATCATGTGATATCATGTAACAAAAATTTTATAAATCCACTAATTTTAATATAAGATGATTCTGATCCAAAAGCTATGAATTCATTGCTTCATCTCTTTATATATATTGATTTGTTGTTATGCAATGCAATTTTATTATCCCTTTTGCTAAAAGATTGATCTATACATTTGAGTTGCACTGTTTTCTTTTCTATTTAAATATATAATCTTGACATGCATTTTATTAATTCCTTTGTTAAAAAGTACTTTCATACTTTTGATTCAGACGAAATGCTTAAGCAATGCTTATAATAGTTAAGAAGCCAATTGCCAATATATTCCAATATGTACAATCGATTAAGAAAGTGCTTGTCTTATCTTGTACAAGAAAATCATTATTTAATAATAAAGTTCAAAAGCATTAAGAGCTCATTGTGATTCACAAGAAATTTTGATCATTGCATTTTAACAAATCAAGAGAATAATCAATATAATTTCTTTATTATGTGAAATTATAGTATAGTTATGTTTTTTTTTAATATATATAATAATAACTGATCATCTATTAATGACATTACAGTTTTAAAATTCACAAAGATATTTACTAGCATGTTCAAATTTTTATAACCAAGTTCTTCATTAACCATAAAAGTCAACCCATTTACATCTAATTAAAGGATTTAATATAATGCTTATTAACTTTTCAGATAATAATATTCTACTGCAATATATATTAATTATCCTGATACATGTTTTTATATTATAAGGTAATTTAAATCAAACTTTAAAAATAATCAAATATTTATAATATTTGCAAAAAACTGAAGTTTTTCATCAAATTTATCACCTGTTAACAAACATTAAATATGTTTTATTAAATCTTCATAATGTATAATTTACAAATAGATTTATATAAGTTTTATATAAAGTATTTAAAAAATATTTAAGATAAATAAAAATTTACAATTTACTAGAATTTTATCAATAAATAAATAGATATATTAACTTATACTTAAAATTCATTAAGAAATTATAATTAAGAATAAATTTATTTAATATATGTATTATTTAAATATTTATTTGATTGCAATTTAAACTATTTTGTAAATGATAAAAAGTCAAAAATACATATAATTACTATTTTTTACTTTTTATAATTATTATACTTTTATATAATTTTTTTATTAAGATATGTAATTATAATTAATATTATCCCTTCAAATGTATTATAAACAAATTTTATTTAATAATTAAAATTATTTATAATATTTTTAAATATATTTAAAATAATTTATTTAAAATCAATATTTTTATAATAAATTTTATGATATTTTCTAAGTAAAAATTCAAAAAGAAAATGTAATTAATTAGTGATATTTTAAAGATACATATATAATAAATTATTATAAAAAAAAGGTAAAATTTTAAACTTATATATTTGTTATATATTGATCTCAAAAATATAAAAATATAATCATTTAATATACTTTAATAAGAAAATCTAATAAACTAAATTCTAATTTTTGGTAATCATTTTTTTTTAAAATACGATAATGCTCAATTTTTATCTGAAGTATAATATAAGACTACCCTTCTGAGCTCATACTAACTATACAATATCTATCAATATACAACTAATTATATTTTGTAATCTTACGTAATGTGATTAAGTGTATTAATTAAGTTAAGATATATTAATTTAGTAATATATTTTTTTGTAATATATATATATATTGTATTCTGATTGTCATGACACAGTATTAAGAATATATCGTGAAGGCGTAGAACGCTTTAAATGCTTTAATAGTTCCTATTACCTAGTATTATAAAATTACAGATCTAGTAGGTTAATATATGAAAATCCCAAAAATGAATACTTATAGTAGAAAATAAAAAGAATTGTCTAAAACGTTCTTGTAAGCTAAAAACTTACTAGCTTTAGACCAACTGGTCATCTGCTATATTTCAGAAACAATTATTAAAGATTTTCTATCAATATATAATAACTAATTATTACTACGTCTCTCTCTTTTATCTAATAATAATTTCTATCCTAAATTTAATTTCAATACAAAAACAAGTAACTTGAACTATTATTAAACTAAAAAGAAGCTAATAAAAAAATTTAATTCTAACAAGTTTCTAGCTAAATTTGCTGATTAATTCCTAATTATAGTGACCTCTTATAACAAAAGCATCTATAATCACTAAGTTCTGTCAAAGGTTCTTCAGTATTCTCAAACTTTCATGCTAATATGACTATTGATTTAGATTATAACTACTGGCAATCATTACACAGAGCTTAAATCACACAGTTACGAAAACTAAAAAATTCTGCTAAAATTGATAGGCTTTATAATGTCAGAGATTTAAAAAGTGTATGTTTGTTTAAGAAGGTAATGGGAAAATTATCACATGCGATTAGCTGATCTAAAGTTGTTATTAATCTTGATTGTTATTTGGGATATCTCCTGATATCCACTTTTGTGAACAAAAAGAAAAAAAGTAAAAAAGTGAAAAAAACAGCTATGAGAAGTAGTGAAAAAAATATTTAATAAAAAAACATCATCATTTAGACTAACAAAAACTTTTTTTTGGAATAAGAGAGTTTAGGAAGAACAAAGAGAGAAAGAAGTTTGAAAAGGGAGTTTTATTTTTTGTTTACAGATTAAGCTGTAGTTGCCCTTGAACGTACACATTTTTTACATAAAAATTCTTAGTTGAGTGATCACCAGAAAGAGTTTTTATTTTTTTTGTAATCATTAGATAATAAATTATTTTAAAAAATTAAAAATTTGAAAATTTGATATATATTAATTCGTGAATTTCTAATTACATGTAGGATTTCCTTAATTGATTTCCAGGGAAAATTTTATATAGTTTATTATTAAATTAATAAAATATTATGCGCTTTATTTTTATGATAAGTTTTTCTAGAATGTTCTAATAACTCTACAATTAACATATAATCATCAACGTAGTATATGCTTCACAAATATATAAAAAAAATTGATTATTTGTTGGTTTTTTTTAAGTTTACTTATAAGCACCTGTAGATTCGCCAATATTATTATATAATAACTCACAAGAATCAAAAAAATAAAAATGTAAATTCTAAAACT